ACCACCTTAGGTGTATGTGGCTGGCACCTTAGCCACTTGAGCCACAGGTGCTGAGCCCTATTTCAGGTTTTATGTTTGATTCTTTAAACTATATTTGTTAAAAGGAAGCATTTTGCCTGATTCATTTGTGACATTTTTGCAATTAACATAAAATTCCAGGTACGATGAACAATTTAATTTTGTTTTTCAGCTAAAATTTGCATCTGAAATTTTGAAGAAATTAAACAACTAAATTGTTTCCTTCTTGTTCTATAAACACTGCTGTGATTAGCATTTTACAAGGCAACTTGTCTTTCTGATTTTTCCTGATAAATTAAAAGAAGTGAAATTTTTAGGTAAAAGGATTTTTGAAGATTACTAACATATTACCAAACTGATTTTAAGACTTCCTCTAACATTGGAACTAGTGCAATAGTTTGCTTTAAACTGCATTTCTTTATTGTGGGTGAAAAGTTTTTCATATGTGTATTATCCATCATTATTTCTTTTTCTGTGTATTGGTCACTCATGTCGCTTTCCCTTTGTGCTATAATTACTTCATTAGCTATTCAGTTTTCTTCCTTAGAACTCATAATATTCACTTTTGCTTGTGCTATAACGTATTGTAGTTGTTTGCAACATATCTCCCTAATTTATTTACAGCTTCCTAAGGACCAACTCCATGCCTTATGTCTTACATAGCACTATATAGGCAATAGGTAACTGATAAATATCAAATAAAAATTCAGCAAGTTATTGAAATTATAAACTAAGAGTACAGTGATGGTGCATCTCAAAGAACATTAAGTACTACAACTTACTAAAGATGAAAGTACTTATATAACGTGGCTAGCAAAGCAGACTATATTCCTCTTTCCAAACATTTATTAAAACAAACTTGTAAAAAAGACTATTAAACTTAACATATCTTGGCTTGAATCAGAACTGTGTGGACAGACCACACTTTACCAAGCTTTGCAAAACTCTAAATCATGTTTTATATCAGAACAATAACAATATTTTCATGATCTTTATTTCATTCACCTTCTTCATGTTCCCTCCAAGAGCGGGATAAGGAGGTTTGTTGACATGGCTCCAGTTGACTGGGACTCGGATCATTTCATAGAGCTGAAAGATCACTAAAGCATCTGCAAGGTCACTAAAACAGGAAGGAAAAGTGGATAAAGGGGGAGTAAATGTTGGTATTACCTAATTTTATTAAGTGCATTGGAGATGAACTTATGTCTTTAAAAACAAAGTCATTTAGGCTCAGCGCCTGTAGCTCAGCAGCTAGGGCACTAGCCATATACTCTGGAGCTGGTGGGTTCAAATCCAGCCCGGGCCTGCTAAACAACAATAACAACTACAACCAAAAAATAGTGGGGCATTGTGGCAGGCATCTGTAGTGCCAGCTACTTAGAAGGTTGAGGCAAGAGAATCGCTTAAGCCCAAGAGTTTGAGGTTATTGTGAGCTAGACGCCACAGCACTACCCAGCGTGACACCTTGAGACTCTGTCTCAAAAAAAAAAAGTCATTTAATACTTAAAGAATGACAATTTCTATATCAAATATCAATTTGACACAGAACTTCCAATCTAAGAATCTGTCCAAAGTTTTTTCATAATTATTTATAAATTTGTATATATGTGCAGGAACATTCACTGACACAGTATTTATAAATTTGGAAACAAATGCCTGGCAGTAGGGGACTACTGAATAAACTATCCATACCCTGAACTCCTAGGCCCCCATTAGACATACTAAGATAGAGTATATGCACTGATATGAAAAGCTTTGCAAGACATACAAAGTTTATTCATTATATATTTACAGACAGTCTCACTCTGTGCCCTGGGTACACTGCAGTGGCATCATAGCCCACAGCAACCTCAAACTCTTGGGCTCTTTCCTCAGCCTCCCAAGTAGCTACAACTACGAGTGAGTACCACAACACCTGATTAATTTTTCTATTCATAGTGGAGACCAGGGTCCCAATTTTTGCTCAAGTTTATCTTGAACTCTTGAGCTCAAGTGAGCCACTGGCCTTGGCCTCCCAGAATGATAGGATGATGGGTATAAGCTACCATGCCCAGCCCACATATTAAGTTTTTAAAAGTGGCCCAAAACTTTATACAGTTTGATGTCATTTATTTTTTAAAAAACTTAGAATCTAATTATTTATTTGCCTATATGTACTAATGAGTGTTAATAGCAATTACCTCTGGGCAGGAAAAATGGAGAATGAGAAGGCTATGGGAGAAATTGTGATGCTTTATTTTATTCTACATATTTACATCTTTCCTGAAAGTTGTACAGTGGGAAGGAGTTCATGTATTACTTATATGATTTTTAAATATTTAAAAAAAAATAATTAAAAGAAAATCACAACAGCTACACAGTAGGCAGCTGTTCATGTTCAATAATGAGAGTTAAAAGGAGGGATGTATGATCACATACGAGTCCTCGAAGTGAAAATACTATTTGGATTCAGAAAAGTATGTTTGGAGAAGTTTCAAGTATGTCTGTATAGTCCGTTTCCAACTCTGTATGCTAAGGACACAGCAATAGGACTTTATCTTTTAAATCGCTAGCTCTGTGATTTTTTTTTTTTTTGCAGTTTTGACCAGGGCTGGGTTTGAACCTGCCACCTCTGGCATATGGGGCCAATATCCTACTCCTTTGAGCCACAGGCGCCACCCCTTCTGTTTTTTGTTTTTGTTTTTGTTTTTAGCTCTGTGATGTATTAAGAGGCTTTTCTCCTCCCATAGGAGGAGTTACCCGTTGAGTTATATTTTGTTAAGGTTCATATTAAAGTTACTTTGCACTCTCTGACCACACACCATACAGCAGAGAAGAATGCCAGGCCCAGTGCTGAGTGAAGGAGGGAGAAAGCCTAAAGTGAAGGTACTTAAGGTCTGATATCTGTAAACACACAGAACATTCTATATAAAAAAAATACCATCACTAAAGTCTTTGTATAGGTTCTGGAATCATCTATTTCATAATTTTTTTCTTTTGTACTTTAAATGAATTCATTGTTATTCCTATGTAGTGTGGTATTGCTATTCATGTTTGCAAATAGGAAAACTAAGGCCCAGAGAGTTGAATATTTCCAGAGACTTCTAGAACCAACTAGTCACAGAAAAACTCTAGGACTATTATTAGTTCTTAAAATATATTTAGTAACTTGTTTAATGAAGAAAATTTTCAATGAAAATAAATATACTACATTATTCTGGTTCAGTAATTATTTGGTGTGCTGTGGTACCCTGGTATTCCATGATAGGATCTTAGGTGTGCCATGAAAACTTTTAAAGATCAAAAGAAGTTCAAAGCACCATAAGTATATTCTTTCTTTACACTATTTTTTTGATCAACATAATTTAAGTGTGCCACAGAAGTTTAATTCTAGGTTCAAATGCCATGAGATAAAAAAGGTTGAAAAACACTGTTTTAGTTGCTTTAGTATGGGCTGGGTACACCATAGGTGGGAAGCAAAAAGCATTATGGGCGGGCTTAGAATATGACCCAGACACAAATTCATGCACATGTGGTTCTACTGCAAACTAGGTATCTGGCTTTTGTTTTTCTATATCCAATGGTTCTCTTCAAGGTTGTGTTGTTTTTGAGAATTTTCTGAAAATAATAATAATTTTTTTCTTGGGAAAAGGACATGTGCCTGGAAGTCCTGTGCTAGCATGTCAAGGTATACATAACTATAATCAGATATCTTTAACTAAAAGATTGCTCAATTTATGAGATAGTTATTAAGACTATCAACAAATCTTAATCTATTTTAAAATTAAACTTATAGAAGAAATGCAAGTTTTTGGTTTTTTTTTAAATTTTTTTAGAGACAGAGTCTCTCTCTGTCACCCTTGGTAGAGTGCTGTGGCATCACAGCCTACAGCAACCTCTAGCTCTTTAGCTTAGGTGATTCTCTTGTCTCAGCCTCCTGAGTAGCTGGGACTACAGGTGCCCGCCACAACACCTGGCTATTTTTTTGTTGTTGCAGTTTGACCAGGGTAGGGTTTGAACCTGTCACCCTTGGTATATGGGGCCAGCGCCCAATCCACTGAGCCACCGGTGCTGCCAAATACAAAGTATTTATTGTTAAAAAAAAAATTTAAACCATATTTAAATTTAGAAATAAAAGTCACATGACTGTTCTCCACTTATGTACCTCTCCATATTTTCTTTAAAAATTCATATACAAATATCTACACACTCAATTTTTAAACAAAATGAGATTATTCTTTTCTATTATATATTATATTCTTTCACATTAATTCATAAAGACCAATTCCTTCCAATATTTGAGTTTTCACAGCCCTGCTACTTTAATAGAAGCTCCATTCTAACTGATGTTCAGCTCTTCCCACTTTGGAATTTACACATTATTCAAGAGCTTTATAAATATGGGTCTATCATATCAAAGCCAGTTACCTAATAAGGCAAAACTGGTTTTAATTTGATGAATATCTTGAGTATACAATGAGCAGAAACTGCCTTGTTATAAAACCTCTGCCAGTGAACTTGGCCTTTTGTGACATTAATCTTGAGTTCATATTTAAATAAGAATTTAGTTAATTTTCTTCAAGGAGTTTCTTTGAAATTTAAATTATTAATAGATTTAGTTAATTAGATCTTTTTCAAAAAAATTTTAAAACTAGCTGAAATTGAGTTCTTTTGCATTTTTTTCAAGGCATGCTGGTAGATTGTATCATAGAAAAGACAGATTTCCACCCATCCATATGTATTGTTAGCACTAGTAGACAACCTAGGAAATGATTTAGTAAAATATTTTTCTTAGCCCTACCAATGTTAATAATGTGTTATTTTTAAACAAGAAGGAATGAAATAAATAATGATAATTACTGAGGGAAAACAAGTTATTTAAATTAGAAAAAGTATACACAAAATTAAGGGATAATTGAGGTTTTTGGCAAAAATGAAAAAGTGACTTATAATGACAAATACTGATGTAATAATCAAGCATTAACAGTTATTCTAAAATAACAGTTTAAATAATTTATTTAAAACTGAAATAATTTATTTTCATGATCATATCTATAAGAGTAAGGATTCTCTTTACTGACTTATTTATATATCACCAAAAAATTATAACTATTATCATGTTCTTATATTTTTAAGTAATAGCTTTCTTTTAAAATCCATTGTTACCAGTTTCCAGCATTCTGAAACTCTGAAACTCTTTTGATTTGAGAAAATGTTCTCATGCAAAACTTTAGGTTGCTTGAAACTAAGCAATCTGAAACTTGAACTTGAAAAGTTGGACCCTGACATAAAAACTGAAACAAAATATTTACCTGTATAAATGATTAATATATGGGTTGACCCCCAAGGAATTCATCCAGTTCCGAAATGTCCTCTCTTCCTTACTCTCTCCTAGAGTAGACACAGATAGAGACTGATGATTCAGGATAAAAGCAATCATAAGCTATTATATATGTTAAGCCGTTCTGGCAGGTACAAACTGGACATACGTACTTTGCCATGGTTCTTTAGATACTACAATTTGTTTAGGAAAAAAAAAATCTTCTGCTGACAAAGTCCCTTCTTTCCCACTGTCTAGGAAGTCTTCATTTGCTCAAATCTCTCCTTCTAGTTTCACTTATTCTATGTCTGAACTACTAGTGAGTTACACACAAGTTTCTCTGTCTAGAAACCTAACAGATAAGCTTATGTGGTCAATTATGAATAGATGCAAAAGGGATTGGCTAGACATTAATAAACATAATCTTTTAGCAGTCAGGGTAACATTAGCACATTAAACATAAATAGAAAAGCTCTACCTCTTTCCCCCATGTAGTGTTTCGAAATTAGCATGGATTATGTTTTTACACAGGAAAGTTTCTGGCACACAAATCTATCATTTAAGTTATACCAAACAATGAAGTTGAGAGAGGCTTATAGGTAATAGAAAGACAGGCAATGAGGGCAATGTAACTATTTGACAGGCTTACTGAGTTATTTTAGATTGTCTCTACTGAAAATATATAGGAAGAGAGTGCTAAGAGAAAAACACATTTCATCATAGTAAGTTCCTGGACCTCAAAGATCATCTCTGGGAGATAACTCTGCAGACACTAGTATTTCACCTATGAATACCCTACCTTCCTGAGTAGTCCCTGTGTAGCAGTGCTTAAACCATCTGTAAGGAAAATGGGTTGTGGTGGGGATGTAAGTTCTCCTGCCACATCTGCCTTCTAGTCATCTCTTGTTTGCAAATAGTCCTAGTCTATAACTTATCACCAGAATCCTGAAAAACTGAAATATTTATACCTTTCATCACTTCTAAGTCACAAGCAAGTTCAGGTCAGTCTCTAGACTTTGGCCCATGTGATAGACAATTAGGCATATAAATAAATCTATGACCATCTGAGCTCTAGGGGGGCCCATTGCTATAGACCTATTCTTACAGTCATCTTCATACTAAGTGCCAGAGATAGTATAAACCTGCAAACCTAGAATGGGAACCACAACCTTGTCAGTTCTAAAAGGATTCTGTTATTTATGTCAACTGTTCTGGAAATAAAGTGCTCACAGTATTTTCATGTAGTTTTCAATGCCATTACCTAATGACTTTCCAGAATCAGCTTTAATTCTTGCTCTATTAAATGATATAGCCATACAATTTGCTTAAATGTTATTCTTTCTTATGTGCATCAAAAATAATTGATCAGTCTGTTCTGTCTGCCTGCCACACCACTATAAAATCTACATGAGAATCTTTTTGAAAAGAACGAAGTTAAAACTAAATACTTCTACAATCCATGTCTGCCTTGTTCATAGGAGTTATTAAACGGGTGGAAATTAAATCTGTGAACTCTCCCCAAGGTGACATAATTATAAGCATACTATGAGTAACAGATTGATGCATATGACTTAGGTTTGCCTTTTAATTATTTCTCTATTACTATCTGTTATAATGCTGTCCATATAACTTTTTCTAGTTATTGGGGAATTTTTACATTATTTCCAGCTAGGAAAATCCAAATTATGTCTTAAAATTATGAAGATTGATTATCACAATGGCTTTTTAATTAAAATATCCAAATTCTGTTGAACTTAAGATACAGTGAATAATATTTAAAAAAAATAAACTTGCATTTTGAGTTCTAAAACTATCTTCACAGGTTTATATTTATTCCTATTGTTCTCAGCTAATTATATAATATTTTAATTTGTGATGCATAGAAATTAAAACAGGTTTTATAAGTGAGCATTTATTTAATATCATTTCAAGATGTCTTGGTAAATAAATGCTCAAAGCTAGAAGCACTATGCATTTTTGCGAGAGCCATGGTAAAGCATTACAAAAACATATGTATTCCAGATTGGAAGATGTTGTTTAGATTACAGACAACTACAGCAATCTTAGAAGTAAAATCTTAACTGCTGATATACAAGATATAACTATAAAACATTCATTTGCAGGGTCAAACTGACATCCACAAATGATAAAAGTTTCGATGAAAATAACAAACATATTAGAGGTAGGCTAAGAGGAGATAAAAAAGAACTAACATATTTAGCACTTGAATGTTCTGTGATGTTTTAAGCACTTTCCTCCTCCTAACCATTAATAAACACATACTGTAGTTTAAACCCCTTCATTTATGATCACATTTAACTTGCTCTGTAACTCTTCAAAATAAGTATTAATAGTCCTGTTCTATACATGAGAAAAATCAAGGTTCACAGAAGTTACTCAGATATTGTGGAACTATGATTTGAACAAAGTCTTTGTAATTCTGTAGCCTATGTACTTTGTCATCATAAATGAATTCTGAGATGCCCACATATTTGGCTCAGTTTGATATAAAGGTATAATATATCTAATTGGGGTAAAGATAAAATTCTCTGCCAATGAGGACATACTAATATATAAATTTGGATATATATTATCCATAAGCTTCAAGCTTCAAATTTCATAAAGATACATAAAAACACAAATTATAGTGGAAAATATTCCAATGACAGTCCAAGTCAAATACATTTTTTTGGCAGATGTATCAGGATATACATATGTTCTAAATAAAGATGATTGATAAATATTTCCCACATTATCTTCTTAACAGATATAATAAATACTAATGGAAATATTTAGCAACCCTGTTCACACTGAAAAATTCCAAAAGCATGCTGAACACTAGCAAAAGAATTCAAACATGACAAATAGGAGAGCGAGCAAGTTGGAAAAGATATCTAGCAAGAATTCAGTGACTATAAAAAGCAGATCATTTTTAATATGCCACTCTAAACAATGCCTTCTACTAACACAGAGGGATTTTGAAATTTTCCAGACTGATAAAAATTTAGCAGTCTTCCTTTTTGCTTAATCTTTTTTCAAGTTCTAATCTCTCTCCCTAAATTTCTCCTTGCTGAAAAATCTACATTTTTCTCTTTTCCTGCTTAGCTACACATCTACATAGAGAATACAGTCTATTTTACTGAAACTTCAGGAAGAGTAAATGTAATTAATCATATTCTTTAAAGAATATATCTATTCATACTGAAACTTCATTAATCACAAAACTGTAATTATGAAAGGACAAGACACTGGAATTCTGATTGTGGCAGTCAAAGAGAAAAAAAATCATGAAACTTATTTTCTCATTCTGTCTCACTGGGGAGGAAGAGGGTAAGGGTGGGTTACGTGAGAGAATGAACACTGGAACCCTAATTTCTCCCTACCAGGAGGATTCCCTACTTTCTCCAAATCAGGGCAACTAAAGAGAAAATTTGGGGATTAGCTTCTTCTGACAACTATCTCTCCCTCCAACAGATGCCATTACTGCTGCCACTGTTTTTACTTTTAGTTCTAAAATTAATGTAGATGTTGGTATGCATGTGGGTAAGGGTATGACAAGGGAAGAACGTAAGAAAGGCTGGGAAATAAAGATAAGGAGAAAGAACCAGATTATTACTAATGTTTTTGTCATGATGTTATTGTGTAAGTTTATAGTGTAAGCGTCAATGACATTCAGTAAATGTAACATAGCTAAATGATACAAAATAATCTGTTGTGGAACCCAAATGAACTCTTTCAAAGGTTTCTTTTGATAAAAGTTTTATCACAGGAAAGGAATAAAGAGTGCATCAAATCATGAAGTACAAATGTCAAAACTGATTTCTACTGTGTTTACAATACCCCATCATTATAGAAGGCAAATTAGGTAGAGATTTTACATAATCAAAGCCTTGCTCTGCTATTCTAATTAAGGTCCATTTGTGTTTCTTGTTTGTAGTCATTCATTCTATGGGCATATTAAGACAGAAATAACACAGCATGAACAATGCAAAAAATGAAATATCAACCAAGATGGAAAGAATAAGTGGTATTAATAAAAAGAACATTCAGAATGAATATATTTATAGAGTATAGAAAAGTACTAAATACAGTACCTACATTAGGAGGGGTCAAATCTGCATTTCACGAAGCAAAATAGGAAAGTATTATATATTATGAGACAGATAATGATAGACGACACACAAGACAAGTAATGAATACTGTAATTTTTTTCATGTACACGAAAAACACTAAAAAGAGAATAATACTCAAGTCAAACTGGAGCTTTCGAAGAAGAAAAAAGTGACAAATTAATTTTTCCAGTAGACAATTCATTGTCCATATTGATGGTATTGTTATCATTTTCAATAATATTTTAAATTACCTGATAGTTTTCACTAACTTCTTATGAAGAAATAACAGATAAGCTTTACTCCAGCATTCTCTTTGAACTGAAAACAACAACCACTTTTTAAAAATGCACATGCCTAGACACACTAAATTGCACCTCCCACCACAATCCCCTACCTCTGACAAATGAAGTAGGACAATACCATAAGTATAGTAAGTCAATTAAAAGTAAAAAGACATACCTTCCAATAAATTCATATCGATGTCATTATTATCAGGCTTGTGTAGGCATGGGTACGTGTTAAACAGATTAGCTACAAAAGCTAAATTAAGTTTAGGATTCCCTGAAACCACATCTGCAGGAGTAACAAACTGTCTGCAGCCCAGTTTATCTGCTTCTTGAAGCATGAATCCAGCACGCTTCAGGTCATTTTTCTCCTAAACAATAAAATGAAACAAAAGTGGTCAATATTGAATTTCTTTTTTTTTCAGTGTCCGTATTTCAAAAATTTATTTACTTCAAATTGCGCATAATGGAGTAAAAACTTAAGTTGAAAAAGTACCTGTTGTAAGGATATTAGTTCAAATATATACACATGGATTCTTGGCAGACTAATACAAATAATATAGAGCCGAATCTTTTAAAATATAACTATGGAAAATAAGGAGGGAAACCTTAAAATATCACAACAAATTTACAGAAATATTACAAACCATAAGAAAATATTTCAAACACAGTAATTTCATGTTTTTTTTTTTATCTGAACAAAATGGAAAGTTGGGATTGAACAAAAGCTATTATAAGTTACCAACAATGTCAACTTTCATGGCCATTTTTGCTTTTAACAGTAAGTTTAAAAAAATTAGTACAATCTAAAACCTTTGCCCTTTTCAACAAGACCACAGAGATGGTTTGCCAGTACTTATTCTATTTTTTTCTTTTGCACAATTTTTAAACAATTAAAATGACCAAATTTGAATAATTTTTCCCCAAATTTCAGCTCTACAATCAAAATTGAGCAGAAGCCTCTCCTTGAAAAATATTGGCAAATTCTCAGCTTATAAACAATGGACATTTTGATTGCCATGTTTATCTCAATAAACCCTGTACAGAAAGTTGCTTGCAAATATTAAAACATTTTTTCGTCACTTGGAGACTAGCTCTAAATATTATTGGTAAAGACTTTTGCAAACTTTCTGCAAAGCTCCTACGGTACCATTAAAACTTTTAAAAAGTTTAGCATAGCTTTCTTTCCTCCAGATCTATACAAGGTCCATTCCCCCCTCTCTCTCCAACCTACCCCTGATTTATTCTGTACAAAAATAGTCCCCCCAAAAGAAGTCCAGGATCTCTCTCATAAAAGTTTTCTTGCCAGCCTGGCAGGTTTTGTGTGAATGTGGATGTAGTTGGTGTTCTCCTTTGCAGCTGTCACTTGCCGTGGGTGAGGGGATTCTTTTCTTTTCTTTTTAAGCATACAGGGTTTTTCTCCATGCTGTTTCTTACTCTTTTTTGCACTCCTCCCATTTCCCTCTTTTTCTTGGAGAATCTCTCCCTCTTCCAGTTTGCTATCTGGCCCTAACATGTTCGAGATGGACAGTGTGCCATTAATGGCCGTGCCAGGCACCAGTCCTCTCTGGTAGTGCTGAGATAGGTGAAGTCCACAGGGGCGGCAGGTTCCGGTACCTCAGTGCCAGGGAAGTACATGCTGATCTTGTCCTGGAGGTTCCAGAACAGGCAGGGAGCCCTGGAGTGGGAGGAAGAGCTGGAGGATTGAAGCTGGCCTCTGACTTGACCATTGAACCCCTTGGAGCCAAGAGCCATGCCAGGGGTGCCCTGCTGTGAATAGGATGTGCTATGGGTAGATGAGTCTAGGATTTGCATAGGTCTGTAAACTGGTCATAGAGATGTATTGCAGTGCACTCACTTCATAGTGGTACATGGACTACATCTGCACCAGGCCGTGCACTTGAGGCGCAGGTGCCGCAAATAGCCCAGCTGGTCCTGTGCATCATGCTGTAGCTGCCATTGCTCCAGCCATTCACGTGCATGTAACTTTTCATGTAGTGATTCATGCCTGCGCCCAGGCCATCGTCCACTCACCATGCTGCTGCTGCTGAGCACTATTGAATTTTTGATTGGTGTAATTTTTTATTATTAAAATATTTAAGGGCAATTACCTTTTGGCAAATAATTATACTTCAAAATAATATCAGAATGTTCAGGAATTCCAAATTACCCTCCCCATTTCTTTTAAATCAAAACGAACAAGTCTGTGAGTTTTCTTGCTGGAATCACAGTTATAACTCACCCTCATTGCTGAAATACTCAACAAAATTCAAATGTTGTATCAATAAACTCCTACTAGTGAAATTATAGGTAACTTGTTCAATACCAGATAATAGAGCACCCTATATATAGATTAACAAACTTAACTTGTCTCACCCATTCTGCACTGAGTGATAGTTCTAGTAAACTCTTTCCTCAATGAAAACCAAGTTGGGATACATCTAAAAAAAATTGTTTAAATCACGAGGAACTATACCTTTCATAATTGCAAAACCCTAGAAACAAGAGAGTAAATGAATGAATTGGTATATTCACACAATGATATACAATAATGTGGGTGACTAGTATAAAGTTAAAAAACAAGTACTGGAAATTTAAGTACATGATAACTAAAGTTAAAAAGTAAGATAAAAAATTTAACTTTTTAAAGAAAACGTGGATAAAGGGAAACCATATGAAAAGAAAAGCAATAGAACAATGAACACAAGATTGAAGATGATGGCTATCACCTTGGGTTGAGGCAAAGATGAATAAAGGAGAACTGCACAGTTAAATGTAAATTAACATCAAGGTCATAGTTTTCTTGTTGAATTGAGGGTCCACACCTCTATGAGGGGTGTGGCTTATTACAACTTCAACTTCAAAAGAAACAACCACAAGCACATATTAAAAACAAAAGGAGGGGGCATGCATGGATCCATGATGAGAGTATATCATGATCAAGGATTATGACTTAATTCTGTGTACCACAGTTGCGAAAAAGTAAAAATGCAAATGAAATCATAGAAAATGATAGATTCAATATTACTAAACAACTATAAAAAGTTGCCAAGGTAGATATCAGCATATCACAATATGTGGACCTTGTTTAAATCTTAATTCAACTACACTATGAAAAGGAAATTTTATGCTTATGAAGCAATTGAAAATGTGAACATTGACTACATATTTTGACAATATTATTTATTGTTAATATTTTAAGTATAAAGTATTGTTTTATACTAAAGAGTTCATTTTTTTAGAAATACATATTGAATTTTTTTTTTTTTTAGAGACAATCTCACTTTCTCATCCTCACCACCCTTGGTAGAGTGTTGTGGCATCATAGCTCAGAGCAACCTCCAGCTCTTGGGCTTAGGTGATTCTCTTGCCTCAGCCTCTGTAGTAGCTAGGACTACTAGTGCTGGCCACAATGGCCAGCCATTCATATTGAAATATTTTATCAATGAAGTGGAATGATGTCTAGGATTTGCTTCAAAATAAAACAGGAGGAGGGAAATAAGTAGGGAATAAATGAAATGAGGTTGACAATGAATTGACAGATGTTGAAACTGGAGGATGAGACCATGGTAGTTTAGTATATTATGTCTATTCACTTTTGAATATATTTAAAATCTTCCCTAAGTTCTTAATTGTTTGACTTAAAATAATTTGCAAACCTTACATAATTTTGCAATAAGTTTCTGAGCTATTTCAATATAATATTGTTATATAATTAGTAACATTTAGATAGAACATCCCTAATATTTACAACTTAGGCTGAAAGAATGAGATTCCCAAAATGTGTTTGGTGTGTCAGGATCTGTACCAGACTTTCCTATACCATAAATACTAGGAATTTCCATCTTTTGTGTATTTCCAGATGTAAGCTAGTAAAATGGATAATCAGTTGCTTAGCAATCTAATAACAGCTTGTTGCTCCCTTTCATGGTGCACATTGACAGTCACAAAAGAATCTGTTGAGTTCCAATTTTATTTCACCAGAGAAACATGAATGTAGGATTCCACAAATACTCAAGGTCATAATTCTGCAATTCTCTTTCTTCAGTCATGATACCCAGATGGCTTAACAAGGAGACTTGGAACCTGGGGTATGAAAAAACTTCTGGAGACCAAAAAGCCAAGCTTTAATAAAGGATTGAGGGCTCCACTAGGGAATGCTGCTTGTAGAGAAGTGAGCTACAAATTTGACAGTAGTCACTAGTCAAATTCATAGAATCAGAAAGTATAATGGTGGTTACTAGAGCCTGGGGGAAGAGGAAATGGGAAATTATTGTTCAGTGGGTACAGAATTTCACTATGGGATGATGAAAGATTCTAGGGATAGAAAATGGTGATAGTTGCACAACAGTGTGAATGTACTGAGTGCCACTGAACTGTATGCTTAGAAATGGTAGTTTTGAGCGGTCGCAGGGGCTCATGTCTGTAATCCTAGCATTCTGGGAGGCTGAGGCAGGTGGATCACTTGAGCTCAGGAGTACGAGACCAGCCTGACCAAGTGCAAGAACCCGTCTCTACTAAAAATAGCAAAATTGAGCCGGATATAGTGGCATATTCCTGTAGTCCCAGCTACTTGGGGGGCTTAAGCAAGAGGATTGGTCAAGCCCAAGAGTTTGAGGTTGCTGTGAGCCATGATACCATGACACTCTATCCAGAACCATGGAGACTCTGTCTCAAAAAAAAAAAAGTAGTTTTATGATACGTATATTTTACTACAAGGTACAAAAACAAGTTTAAAACTGCACTCACATTAAATCCTGAAAGGTCAATGGGAATGGCAGGTCCATCTCCCCGGTCCCCTTTAGGGGCAATCTGATTAAGCAGATGAAAATAGGCTCTCGAATCCTACAAGGAAAGAGATGAAATAACATTTCTTAAATAAACAATCATTCAATTTAGGAAAAAAGTACTCAAACTGAGGAAACTACCTCCATCTCACATAATGAAATAACAACCTAGTAACCTCAATACAGAATTGCTTGTGGGGTCCTGTATGCTATTTCACATTTCTGAGCTCCCAGCAATCCTATTTAATACCTCTGAGTTTCCAGCAATGCTGTTCCGTACACTTGGAGATAATCTTGTTCACCATTTTCATTTGTTTGTATACTCAAGCATCAGTGAGATTCAGATCAAGTATTATCTCCTGGAAGCCTTCTCTGGATTCTGCAGAATGCGTTAAGTACCCCCCTCTATATTGTAGAGCACCCCTAACCCACCTCACTAAAGACTGACCACGCTGTATTAAAGCATTCAATGTAGTCATCTCCAAAGATATCTATCATAATTCTCAACATGTACAAATAGCTCTTGGCATCAAAAGGCAGAAACTATTTCCCTTCTCCCTTAATTTGTACTGGCCTTGTGATTAACTTTGACCAACAGAATGCTGTGAAAGTGATGTCCTGAGTTTTTAAGACCAAATCTTAAGAGTGTCTGCTGCTTCTCTTTTGAAGTTAACCCCCACATAAGAAGTCCAGCTATCTGAGACTATCATGCTTTGAGGAAACCCAAGCTGGCCATGTGCAGCAGCCTTGTGGAGGAGGACTGAAGCACCAGAAATGTGGCTGATACCTTTGAACACCTTCCACCTGAGCCCAACTGACAGCTAACTATAACTGAGTTAGGGATCCCAGCCAAAACCACATGAAACAAAAGGACCCCCTCAGAGCCATACCAGTCCATAAAATGATGAGAAATGATAAATCATTCTTTTAAGCCACTACATTTTGCATGGTTTGCTATACAGCAATAAATAATTGAAATATCCATCTACTAGTTGTATGTCTCCTTGTGTAATCGGTAAGCATCCCAAGAGCTGAGACTTTGCATCCCCTGGGCCCACATGAGGAACTTTATAAATGTCTAATGAGCTGCATTTAGTAAGGAATTCAGAATAAGAGAAAATTCCAAAACTTTTAGATCAGTATATAACAGATTAAATTGGAGAAATACAATGTTATTTCAAAGCAAGAGATTGTCATCTAGGCCATTATACAAAAAAAAATAAATAAATAACCTGGCTGAAGTTGTAACAGATCTAAAAAGAGAACAAAAATTAGAGCCAGCACTAACTACTCTGGGGGCCAAGAATGGGGGGCATAGAAAAGAAAAAAGTTTACAGGGACTCAGTTTGGCAGTGCCCATCCAGGCAATGACCATGGAGTTGTTGTTAGGCAGAATGAGTGTTAAAGTTTCCTTGACAAGGATCTTCCAGTAGAGAGGGAAGTGTTCCAGATTACTTTGATTGAGACACATCTCTTAAGATCCTCTACTGACTTGTCTACTGACTTCCTGTGTGTTCAGATAACGTGGTTTCCTCTTAGCTGCTTATTGGCGAAGTTGGACTAAGAGTGTTGAATTAGTCAGGCCCACAGGGCATACAGCTCAGCAAACAGATGTAATTCTCAGTCCAAATCAATGGACTGACATCCTCTTTATAATCTACTGGACCTTTGGCACATAAAATGGGAAAGAATGCTTTAATTTCCTGAGGCTCACCTTTTACCCCTTCTTAACTACTATTAAAAAGTCCAAAAACAGCAGATGCTGGTGTGGATGGAGAGATAGAAATGCTTACACACTGTTAGTGGGACTGAAAATTAGTACCACCTCTATGGAAAAGAGCATGGAGATTTCTCAAAGAACTAAAAGTAGATCTACAATTCAATTCTGTGGTCTTTTCATTTGTATCTATCCAAATGAAAAGTGGTCATTTTTTCACAAGGTACTGGCACTCAAATGTTTATTGCAGCACACTTCACAATTACAAAGATATGGAATCAACCTAAATGCCCATCGATTCATGAGTGGATTAACAAAATGTGCAGTACACACACCCCATAGAGTACTACTCAGCCATAAAGAAGTAATGAATTAATGTCTTTTGCACCAATTTGGATGGAACTGGAAACCATTATCCTAAGTTATTTAAAGAATAGAAAAGCAAACACCACATGTACTCTCTAATAATCTGTAACTGATTGATGGGCACACATGGGCATAGAGAGAAGTAAAAACCATTGGAAATCAAGAAGGAGAGAGAGGGAAGCAGGGGAGAGTAAAAACCTACCTGACAGGTATAATGAACACTATTCAGGTGATGGGCACACTTATAACCTTGACTTAAGCCTCATCAAACGATCCATGTAACAAAAACATTTGTACCCCCTTAATATTTTGAAATTTCAAAAAAAATTTCTGAGGCTAGCAAATTTGAACATTAAAATATAAACCTTAATGTCTTGGCTGAAGTTGTTGATGGTACGCCATCCTGCATTGGTCAGATGGTAGTTCACCCATCGCAATAGTAACTCCTCAGGAGAAAGCTTCATCAGCTCTTCTAGTTCCTCACCTTCATTTAGCAATGCGATTAAAGCTGAGAAGGAAATACTAAAATGTAAATTCTTCCCATGGTTAGTACGTGTCATGAATAGTAAATATTTCTAATAATCATACCTTCATTTCTGGAAATCTCAATATCAGCAAAAAGTCCAACTTTGATGATCTGCCACAGAAGTCCCAAGACCAAGTGAGGCTTTCCTTCTTTTAGATCCTGTGCACCAATGTTGACCACTGTACAACCAATTGCTGAGGCAGAATTCAGGGCTAGGTTTAAATTTTCCTGAATTGCCAAAAGAAAAATACATGTGAAGAAATGCTTTCTAAAGTCTTATCTGTAAGTTAGCTGAAAGAAACCACAGATTGCAGAAATTTCAGACTTTTAAACATAAATAATATTTATACAACCAAAATATTACTCAAAAAACAATCCACATGGTTTTAACTATTACTTGTTTATGCCAATGACTTTCAAATCCCCATCTCTGGTCCACGCCTCATCCAAGCCCCCACTTTAAGCTCTATATCTATATATGCACCAGGGTATATCCACCTGGATATTCTTTAAATCTTTCTAAACCAACATGTCTAAAACTGAAGAAAGGCTTGGTGCCTGTAGCTCAAGTGGCTAAGGCACCAGCCACATACACCAGAGCTGGTGGGTTCAAACCCAGCCCAGGCCTGCCAAACAGCAATGACAACTACAACCAAAAAATGGCCAGGTGCTGTGGTGGGAGCCTGTAGTCCCAGCTACTTGGGAGGCTGAGGCAAGAGAATCACTTAAGCCCAGGAGTTAGAGGTTGCTGTGAGGTGTGACACCACGGCACTCTACCCCGGGGCGACAGCTTAAGGCTCTGTCTCAAAATAAATAAATAAATAAATAAAACTGAAGAAAATTTTTTTCAGTTTAGTCTTCTCATTCCTGTTGAAATGTGTTCTCTCTTAACTATTTACTATCTTGGTTAATAGAACCAATCTTCATTCTTTTTTCTTTTCTTTCTTTTTTTTTTGAGACAAAGTCTTACTAGGTTGCCCACCGTAGAGTACCGTTGCGTCACAGCTCACAGCAACCTCAAATCCTTGGGCTTAAGAGATTCTCTTGCCTCAGCCTCCAGAGTAGCTGGGACTATTGGTGCCCACTACAATGCCCAACTATTTTTTTGTTGTATTTGTCATTGTTGTTTAGCAGGCCCAGGCCAGGCTCAAACCCACCAGCCTTGGTGTATGTGGCCCGTGCCCTACTTAGTGAGCTACAGGCACCAAGCCCCAATCTTCATTCTTATCTCTTTTCTTCCTAGGCTAGCAATCTGAGCAAAATCTTTGCTCAGATTAAGAGGCAAAATCTCCTTGCCCCTTATATCCAATAACCAATTTCTGTCAATTATACCTTAAGCATTCCTCTGAAAACATAAGTGCCTTTCTTCAGTAGTTTCCTAACTTCTTTCCTAATGACTATCCTCAGACTTACTCTCTTCCATCCATCTTCTACAATGCTCTGCTGCCAGTGATCTTAGTATAATATAAATCTGATAGTGTTCCCAACATTTAAAACCCTTCAAATGTTCCCTGTCCCTCCCATTATTTTTTCTCACTCCCTCTGTTCCAGCTCTACAAGGCCTTTGAACTTGCTGTTTCTTCTGCCTGGAATATATTTCCCCAAATATTCACAATTCCTTTAAGACTCTGCTTAAATGCCCCTATTTTGTACAGCCCTCTCTGACCAGCCTACACCAAATAGTAGCATCAACACCACCCATGCTGTTACTTGTTATTCCCCATTTTATTCCTTATCACTCTTTTGGCATATTATATACTTACTTGTTTCTTGTTATAGCTCTCCCAGTTAAGAGTATGAACTCTAAACAAGAGGAGCTTTGATCTGTTTCAGGCTGTTTCCCCAGTACTTAAGCTGTGTTCAAAATATATTAATAAATGGATGAAAGGGTAAAGATTGAATAATGCATGGAGAGAAAGGAGAAGGTTAAGTTCGAATCCTGAGGGAGGACAATAAAAAATCTTCAGGATTTGACTCTGGCCTCATCTCCCAATATTCCATATGAAATATGTCTATGAAAGGGCAAATACAGAAGGCCCTTCTCCCTTGGCCTATAACACTCCTTTTTCTTTTTCTTTCTTTCTTTTTTTATTTTTTTGAGACAGAGCCTCAAGCTGAGCCCCTGGGTAGAGTGCCATGGCTCCACTGCTCACAGCAACCTCCAACTCCTGGGGTCAAGCGAGTCTCCTGCCTCAGCCTCCCAAGTAGCTGGGACCACAGGCGCCCACCACAACACCCAGCTATTTTTTGGTTGCAGCCATTATTGTTGTTTGGCGGGCCCGGGCTGGATTTGAACCTGCCACCTTAGGTGTATGTGGCTGGCGCCTTAGCCACTTGAGCCACAGGCACCGAGCCAACACTCCTCTTTCTACAAGTCACAAACTCCTTTCTCAAATCACGCACCATCTCTTCTATTAAGATTTCCTTCAAACATCTTTCCACACAAAATTAGTCATTCCTTCCCTAGACTATCATACTGCCTTGCACATACACAAAAAAAGAGAGAAGGAAATTATTACATTAAGTAATATATTGTAAGTAGTATAATTATATATTATGTTATATAAATGTTATATTTTAAAGACTTTCCCTTAGAAACTTCAGTACTATCACTGTATTAATGTTGGGTTAATGGTATTTTCATTTCTGTAAAGCCCTCACTTAGAATCACTTCTTTAAAAAGTCATGTACAATTAAGTTTTAATTCCCTAATTCCAGCAAATTTAAAAAATAAATCTTAAGATGAATTTTTCTTCTTTTTTTCAAGACAGAGTCTCATTCTGTTACCTAGGCTGAAGTCCAGTACTATGATCATACCTCACTGTAACTATGAATTCCTGAGCTCAAGCCATCCTTTCGCCTTAGTGTCTGGAGTTGCTAGGACTACAGATCCATACCATCGCACCCAGCTAATCTTTTAAATTAAAATCCCTTGCTCACATGAAAGAAAAACTCAATGGAATTCAAGCAGGGAGAACATGGGAAGGGGTACGGTTGGGTAAATTCCTATCCAATGGGTACATTACACAGGTATATGGCACACTGGTGACCTGGGTGTGGGACATACCTACAAATCAGACTTTAACCTTACAAATGCAAACTATGAAATCAGTTTGTACTCCCACACTAATATGAAATAAAAAATAAGTAAACAACCTCTGAATTAGAAAAAATAATTGTAGAGACAAGTACACTGTGTTGCCCAGGTTGGTCTCAAACTCCTAGCCTCTAGTGATCCTCTCACTCCAACCTCCCAAAGCAATAGAATTACAGGTGTGAGCCACCATGCCTCGCCTTAAGATGGATCTTTACAGATGATAAAACTATAGATAGAGAAAGCACTGATGGATTACACAGTCGAAGAGCCAGGGTATGATCCAGTAGTCTCCAGAGCTCATCCTCTTAATCAGCATGCTACTACCATTCTCACAGAGTGGTAGTAATAGCAACTATTTATAGGATTAGTCATAATGGCAGCAAAACACAGAGGTTCTCAAAGCATAGTGAATAGTACAGTGGCTTCTTCTTACAATATGCTAAAGGAGTTCATCTTGCTGGGCTCCAAGTAAATGGCTGTATCTCTTGAGAATCAGTCTGGGGTGATTAAAGCAAACATTTGAAATTATTTTTGTAGTAATATTAAGCAATGTTCATTTAAATACAGTTCTCCCAAATGCAGCAGCAGAACCAGAGAATCTTTCAGTACCTTTATAACCTCCTATTTCACAACAAATAGACATGATAAATACAAAAACACTATCAGTAAATTGCAGATATTTTATGGAAATCTTAGAAGATTTTAATAGCTTCAGATTTTTTTTAAAATTTCAGGTTCATGTGAGGGTACAAACAACGAGGTTACAATATTGGCATTTGTTAGGTAGTGTCCCTTTTGTAGTTGTGTCCCGCACCCAGGAGGTGTGCCATATACCTCTACATTGTGCCCATTAAGGGAGAGCACACCAAGACCCTCCTCACTTCCCCTCTCCCATCTCTCTGGTTCCCCCTTTCCCCAACCTGAATTGAATTGAGTTTTTCTCTTATGTGGGCAAGTATGAGATCGTCTGCTGGCTTCATATTAGTATTGAGTACATGGATATTTCCTTTTCATTGCAGATGCTTTAAAGTTATCTAAAATCAAATCAATACAACTTTCAAGAGACAGTGTCTGCCAGTTTAGCCTTAGCCACTAATATTTCTTTTATCTTTTCTTCTGAGGGCATAAAGGATTTTTGCTTCAGTTGTGAATGTATCAGCAGGGAAAATAACTAGATGCATAATGATTCCAATGATAGTATTAATCTCACAATAAGCCATTTCATGTGTAGTTGACAGAATGATAATGTAGGCCAAAAGAAGTATGTTACTGCACTAAATCCGTTGTGATAACTAGTAAGAATCAAAACTTCTATCACCACTCTCAGCTTGGACACTGACAAACCATACCTCTTGTCTACATGACTTTGCATGTTATTCCTTTTGTCTTCACTGGCATAACTTTATTATTCCTTTGTCTTCATTAGCATGATTTTTTTCTGCCAGGAGCCTCAAGCCTAGGCAAAGGGTTCGATTTTTCATTGCAGACACTACCTAAAAGACCCGTTAACTCTGCAATGGGAAACATCAATGGACTGTTTATACTCGAAGACTCCTTGACTTCCCCACCTTGAAAAACTCCCCTTGCTATTTCTACCAATCTTGTTGTACTGAGGTCCTTACCGAAACTGAATCAGACTCTTCTCTCTCTCTTTTTTTTTTTTTTTTTTTTTTTTTTGAGACAGAGCCTCAAGCTGTCCCCCTGGGTAGAGTGCCGTGGCATTACAGCTCACAGCAACCTCCAACTCCTGGGCTCAAGCGAGTCTCCTGCCTCCGCCTGCCAACTAGCTGGGACCACAGGCGCCCGCCACAACGCCCGGCTTATTTTTTGGTTGCAGCCATCATTGTTGTTTGGCGGGTCCGGGCTGGGGATTCAAACCCGCCACCTTAGGTGTACGTGGCTGGCGCCTTAGCCAGTTGAGCTATAGGCGCTGAGCCACTCTCTCTCTTTCTCATACTAAAAGACCCATATATTAAGCCATAATTCCAATTCTAAATCCTGCCTTCACCTTCTCAGCTCCAAAGGTGATATTTTCTCTTACTGCAGTAGACTCAGCTTTGTCTTATTGATAGTTGTGTTGGTGAAACAAGGAGAAACAGCTTTAGATGTCAGGTTTATTCAGAGATGTTTGATTTATAAGTATATCAAATGTCTTACAAGTAATTGGCTATAAAAAAATGGCTTGAAAGTAAGGAATTGCAATGTGCTTCCTTCAAGTAAACAGTAGTTTTTACTTGATAAATTCATCATTATTGCCCTTCCAGTTAGTGGGGAATAGAATGACCAGTACTGTCTAAAGCCACTTCTAAACCTGAACAAGAAGTAAGAGGAGAATTCCAGAGATAGTGCTAACCCATTCTTACCATGGAGAACTCCCTTAACTGCTCAAACTTCCTTCCTAAAGACTTGTGTTGGTGGAGAAAGACAAAAACAATGGGGAACCACGAACAACTAGGAACCAAAATAGGCAGTCCTTCCTGTTTCAGAGTCCTAAATCTGTAAGACAGGGCACCCCACCTTATAGGAATACTAACAAAAGACTGGCAGTTTACCTTGGACTATGCATGTATTTTCTCCCATCCTTTTTGTGCATCAATGAACGGACTATGCCCAAGATAAAGCCCACCTTACCAGGTAGAAAAATTTGTACTGCTGTTTTAGAAGGCTTCTATGTCCCCTTTATTTTGATGAATTAATAAATACACACATACTGTAAATTTCTCTGTTTTAATTCATATTACTTTGCAAATTTTCATTTCCCATGCTGGTTAACTCCGGATGAGTAAACTTTTTTTTTTTTTTTTAAGAGAAAAGATCTCACTATGTTGCCCAGGCTGGCCTTGAACTCCAGAGCTCAAGAGATCCTCTTGCCTCAGCCTCCTGAGTTGCTGGGATCATAGGTACATGCCACTATGCCCAGCTCAAATGAGTACACTTTTGTTAATGATTTTTAGAGAGCTTTCCTATATACTTACTGGGTCACTGAGAATAAAGGCACAATTCATTATTCAGATTTCATCCTTATTTTACACAACATCACTTTTACTCCAGTTTGGCATTCTTCCTTTCTGTCTTTGGGCCACCGTGCCATTCTCTTGCTCCTTTTCTCCACCCCCCACCCCTCTTCCCCTCTCTCTCTGCTCTCTTCTCTCTCTCTTTCTCATCTCTGCTTCCCACTCTCTTCCTCTAATATAAAATAAACTTATACTTTTAGTTTCTAATCTTGGCGTAGAGAAATTCTTTTCTAATCCTGTGAACTTATAAAAGAAAATAAAAAACATTTTTATTCCATTTGGAATGTCCAAATGAGATTTATAATGCTGAACCTACTTAAAATGTAATTTTATGTAAGGTAAAATTAATGTCATATGTACTTTTGTACATATATGTAAATATATAAAATAAACATATTTTGCATATGAGTATATTTATTACACTAGATTTTTTTATTTACATGTAGTAATGAACAGATTCAATTTCCTATTACCCTGCATTAATTCCCTGACTGAGTTCCAAAATCACTACCATCAGTTTTGCAGAGTCTTATTCATATAATTATTGTTTCTTTCAAAAATGATAAGTAAACACAAGCACAGCTCAGTAGTACATTGGGTAAAAGAAAAAAGGATGAGAAGTATCTAAGATCATGAAACAGTTTTGTTCTCCTTGCTTTTCTCCCTTGCTTCTATAACTACTGTACAACTTTTTCAGTCTTTTATCATTCTTTCCTTCCATATATCCTGATACCACATACACTTATCATTTTAAGGGAAAACAATATTACCACAGTCTTTGCAATCTTTTCCAAATGAAATAGGCTTCCTAGGTGTAAGGTTTTATGTGACACTAGTTTTCTAGAGAATCTATTCTCAGAGCTCTAAAATCCTGAACAAAAAAGACAAATATAATATCCAAGAAACACTCTGCCCCTTCTCAAAATCCTCAGGTCTTATCTTGTTCTATTAGTACCTTCTGTCAAGCATCCTAAAAACTTACTGGGAGTGTCCCAACCTGCCACCCATAGCCGCATATGGATTGGATTATATGAGGCCCTTTTTTGCTTATCTGTGGTGTTGGATATCACAAAAAAGTATGCATGGACCTTTTTTATGCTAATCAGCTTTTGTTTCAGTTTGTGTATTTAAAGTGTGGCCCAACAACTCTTATTTTTCCAATGAGTGGCAGAAAAAAAAACCAATTGAACACCCTTGACTGACGCTATTATCCGCACTCAAATTGGAAGAATGTTATCTCTAAAAATAAAATGATACAATATTTAGTCCCTCATCTATTCTGTAACTACTACAAAATATTTACAAAATATTTTCTTTATTTTCTAATGCACTGCACATCACCATTAAAAGTATAACCAAACAATAAATTTGTACAATAGCAAGTAATACTGTATTTCAGATTTGGTACCAAAAAAATTGTGACATATGTCACACAATTCTGTATCTAAATATAAGATAATGCATTCTAAAATAAAGTAGATATGAATATTTTCAATAATCATGGCCATCAGACAAAGATCCTTGCACAAGATATGAAAGAAAAAAATCTTTTAGTAATTGCAATTAGAAATGGGCTTCTCTGAGAATGATAATTTCTACTAGGGATATGCAACACTATTGGCAAGTAGGGGAGAAGAGAGCCAAGTAGTCAATATCCAATTCTCTACTTCTCAAAGACAATAGGAAGTAGGGGAACTCCTTGGTCAGTCCAGGACTAACCATGTACCACTGCCCTAAGGTTCTAGAACTTCCTATAGAAGATACTTAACAACTTTAGCAAAATCAAGATTTAATTTACCAAACAAAGGAAATAGCTTAAAGTAGCTTGATTTTAATAGCTACTGTTGTGATGACACATCATACATTAAATAGTTGCTATTACTACCACCACATAAAAGTAGCAGTACAGTATTGTGATTAAGAGGATGAGCTGTGGCGGGAGACCACTGGGATCATATCCTGCCTCTGCCACTCTGTCAGTGCCTCTGTTTTCTATCTGTAAAGTCAAAGTATACATCCTACTATAGAGTTGCTGGGAGGACTATCATACAGATAATTCATAGTGTGTTTAGAATAGTGACTCCTGGTTCTAACAATCTGGAGAAAAAAGTGTAGCACTTTCACAAAGAGAAACAAACAGAACTACCTTAGTACAAAAAGAATAGTTTAAAATTTTGCAAAATGGTAAAACATGATAATGCTGCAGTGTGACTTTTTTAACCAACAAGCACAGTGGCATCAAACAAGTATTCCTTATAAAATAACTCAATAATTATAATAATATATAACCTGAATTAAATTAAAGAAGCCCATCCAAAGTACTTTTTTTTCAAAGTATCACTGAACACAACATAATTTTTTCCTTTTATACAGCAAGATTGTTAGTTTAAAATTGGGTGAGCTATGATCATCAAATGCCATGAAGTTAAAAATGATTCTACATGTCAAACTCAAATAGAAAATGCTGTGCAATATATAAATCACCAATAGACCTCTTGCAGTCAGTAAAGAAGTTTACTATGTTTATTTTATTTTATTTTATTTTTTTGAGACAGAGCCTCAAACTGAGCCCCTGAGTAGAGTGCCATGACCTCACTGCTCACAGCAACCTCCAACTCCTGGGCTCAAGCAAGTCTTCTGCCTCAGCCTCCCAAGTAGCTGGGACCACAGGCGCCCGCCATAACGCCCGGCTATTTTTTTTTTTGTTGCAGCCATTATTGTTGTTTGGTGGGTCTGGGCTGGATTTGAACCTGCCACCTTAGGTGTAGGTGGCTGGCACCTTAGCCACTTGAGCCACAGGTGCCGAGCCAAAGAAGTTTACTATTTTATTAAAGTCACATAAGTGGTTTAACAAAAGTGCACAGTTGAATGACATCACTGGTTGTTATAAATCACAGTGAATTACTAGAATACAACTATGTAGTTCCTCATCATGGAAGACTACAGGATGTGGTGGATATTATAAAGAATTTTTTTTTTCCCTTGAGAACAAGAGTCTCACTATGTCACCCTCAGTAGAGTGCTATGGCGTCACAGCTCACAGCAACCTCAAACTCTTAGGCTTAAGCGATTCTCTTTCCACAGCCTCCCAGGTAGCTGGGTCTACACACACCCACCACAATGCCAACTATTTTGTTGTTGTTGTTGTTGTAGTTATCAATGTTGTTTAGCTGGCCCAGGCTGGGTTCGAACCTGCCAGCCTTGGTGCATGTGGCATAACCACTGTGCCACAGGCACCAAGCCTAAAGGACGGGACCTTTTCAATAGATTAGCCCTCTCAGATTTTACTCCTCAACTATGTACCTCTGAGAAGATTGGTTAGGAAAACTGAGTATTTTTCCTCATCTTTTCTCCTCTCCTAATTACTAAGCACCAACAAAAAAAGCCATGCTATCCAAAGTACTTTGTTAATTATGCAATTAACAATTTGCAATCAACAATTTGCAATCATTGCAAAATGCAGTTAAATTTTTACTTAATAAAAACCCGGTATTCATAGGAAAACAAAATTACATAAAATCAAAGCTTTTATAAAGGTCTTACATTTCTCAGTATAGTAACATGATTATAAGCAAAGGGCAAATACTTACAGAAATAGTGAAAGGGGTAAGCTTTTTCTTATTAATGGCTCTTTCATCAATTGTATCTGGCTCTGATAAATTAATCATTTTGCTAAAGAGAAAATGAAAATAATTGAGGTTAATACTCCTAGAAATGTTTTTAGTTTATTTTCGCAAGTAGCCAAAATAGTTAAACATTCTGAAAGTAATACCAAATCATTTCTTTAAAATATTAAACTGTAGGCTGATGATATTAGCATGATATTCATGTGGTCCCAGCACTTGGAAGGCTCAGGTGGGAGGATCACTTGAGCCTAGGAGTTTGAGGCTGGTTTGGTCAAGATAGCAAGATTCTGTCTCAAAAAATAATTAAAATAATAAAATTAAACTATAATTCATGTCAGGAACTTAACTTTTTAAATCTAGAAATATGGCTGGGCATTGTGGCTCATGCCTGTAATCCTAGCACTCTGAGAGGCCAAGGTGGAAGAGGGGCCAGAAGTTTGAGACCAGCCTGAGCTACTGAGACCCCATCTCTATTAAAATCAGAAAAGTTAATTAGGCATTGTGGTGGGTACTTGGTAGTCCTGGCTACTCAGGAGGCTAAGGCAGGAGGATTGCTTAAACCTAAGAGTTAGAAATTGCTGTGGGCTAGGCTGAAGCAATGGCACTCTGGCTTGGGGTAACAGAATAAGACTGTCTCAAAAAAGAAAAAATATCTAAGAAACATACCCTATCCTAAAACAAATCTATTACTCACTAATATGGTAATTTTAGCATTTTCTTTTTTAGAAAAACATAATTTTCAAAAATTATTTTAAAAGACAGTCTTATTAGCCAGGCGTTGTGGCGGGCGCCTGTAGTCCTAGCAACTCGGGCAGCTGAGGCAAGAGAATCACCCTAGCCCAAGAGCTGGAAGTTGCTGTGAGCTATGACGCCATGACACACTACCGAGGGTGACAAAGTGAGACTATCTCAAAAACAAACAAACAACAAAAAAAGATAGTCTGACTGTGTCACCCAGAGTGGAGTACAGTGGCGTGATTGAAGTTCACTGCAGCCCCAAACTCCTGGGCTCAAGAGATCCTCTCAACTTAGCCTCCGGAGCAGCTATGACTACCATTCCTGGCTAATTTTAAATATTTTTTTTTTGTAAAGACAAGGTATTGTTATATTGCCCAGGTTCATCTTGAACTCCAAGCCTCAAGCAATCTTTCATCTTAGCCTCTCAACTTCCTGGGGATTACAGGTGTGAGCCACCATGGCCAACCAATCATTGTTATTAACCATCTGCATTTTCTTTATGTAAATCTTCTCTTAATTTCACTTAATGATCATCAATGTTGAGCAGCCTGAAACATAAACAAAGAAATTATTAAGAAGCCAAATTTCAGAAAGTGGTATCAACACTATTAGGATTACTAGGGTTACAGAAAAATAAGGAGCCAGAGAGTTCATGTAAGATGTTAATAATTCTGACATTTTAAATGAAGAGTAAATTTTGTCTCTATATTTTAGAATAAATTTAATCTTTTAGAACAAAAATAGGAAAATACCCAACTTGATTTATATTAAGAATTTCTCTGAAAGTCAATGAGATTAGAATTGTAGGTGGAGGTCAAAGTATATTTTATACATAATGTCCTAAAAACTGGTATTGTGTGCTTATGGGTAGGTTTTATTTTTTAAGTAAAACCAGAAAAAGGATTGAAAGATATTTCCAGACTGTTAATAGTTAATTGTGGTAAGAATATTTGTGCTGGTTATTTTCTTCTTTGTAAGTTTTCTGTATTTTTATGAACTTCAGGAAAAAAAGACATTTACTTTGTACAAAGAAGTATTCTGGGACCATCATACATACAACAAAGACAGATATGCTCTGAGGGAGTTTACAATCTAGTGAGCAGAAACAGACTGCAAAGAGCCAAGGATAACACAAGACTGAATTAAGGTACATGAATTAATTATGTCTTTCTTTTGCATTTCCTCACATTCCTGGTCTAGTCAATAATCAACATTCTCTCTCTCTGTAAAGTGAAAAAAAAATCCTGTGAACATTTTAAAATGCATCAGAGGAATAACTAAAGCTTTCTGGCATTTTATGGCAATAGATATAAATGATACCAAAAAAAAAATAAGAGATTGTATTTGAAAAAAATTTGGAAATTTTCTAACACATATACAATGGTACTTAATTTTCCATGCAGTAGAAACCCTTCACAACCTAAGAACCAGCTAATCTCAAAAGATAAACTGATTTGCTGAATTATAGTTTTATAGAATGCTCATCAATGAGGATAGCAAGAAAGTAGCTAACACCTATAATCCTAGCACTTTGAAAGGCCAAGGTGGGAGGATCACTTGAGCCAGGAGTTTAAGACCAGCCTAAACAATGTAGCAAGACTCTGTCTCTAAAAAAAAAAAAAGAAAAAAAGAAAAAAATTAGCTGGGCGTGATGATGCACACCTGTACTCTCAGCTACTTGGGAAGCTGAGGTGGAAGAATCACTTGGGCCCAGGAGTTTAAGGTTGCAGTGTGCTATGATGACACTGTTGCTTTCTAAGTGACAGATCAAGACTCTGACTCAAAAACAAATAAATATAAATAATTAAGTCTTAACCAGATGCTCAACTCACCAAAGAAGGATGCCATCTGCAAGTGACTTGAAAAGGCTGCCATCACTGGGATTCATGGGTAGAAGATGCTTACAATCAGGGTCATTTTCCAGAGCTTTGTTTATCCAGTTAACAAAAGCTACTTTTTCTTCCTCTGAAAAAAAAAAGTCTTGGTAGGCAAATCCCATGTGGCAAGAATGTGAGGAAACTGGAACCCTCATACATTGCTGGTGAGAATGTAAAATGGTACAGCCACTTTGGAAACAGTTTGGCAATTCTTTAAAATGTCAAACAGACAGTTACCAAAAGATCCAGCAATTCCACCCCTAGGTATATACCTAAGAGAATTCAAAACATATGTCCACACAAAAATGTGTTCATGAGTGTTCATATAGCATTATTCACAATAGCCAAAAAGTGGAAACAAACCAAATGTCCATCAACTGATGAAAGGATAAACAAAATTTATATTACCCATAGAATGGAATATTTAACAGTAGAAACCAATGAAATATGATATATGCTGTAACATAGATAAACCTTAAAATTATGCCACTGAAGAAGCCTGTTAAATTAAAGGCCACTACAGTATGATTCCATTTCTGTGAAATTTCCAGAATACACAAATCTATAGAAATAGAAAGTAGATTCATGGTTGCAGAGGCTTTGGGAAGGGGGAAATGGGGAATGACTGCTGATAAGGAAGGAGTTTCTCTCTGGCATAATGAAAGTGTTCTGAAATTAAATAGTGATGATAATTGTACAACTCTGAATATACTGAAAACTACTGAATTTTATACTTTAAAATGGTCAATTTCATGCTATGTCAACTGTATCTCAATAAAGCTACTATTTTTAAAAAGCTATTAAACATTCTGTATCTTCAAGGTAATAGTTATGTGGGTGTATTCATATGTCAAAAATCTAATCATATACTTAGAAATAGTACTCTTTATTTACTTTATTATGTATATCTTATACCTCAATAAACAAGAGAACAAAATCTATGATGACAGACACCAGAAAGGTGGTTATCTCTAAGGAGGAATAGTTACTGTGAAGGGAATGAGGGAGCCACACAGGGTAGTGGAAATATTCCATATCTTTACCTGTTGACAGGTACATGACTGTATACACAGTAAAAATTCATTGAGCTATATATACATATATTATATCTCAATTTCTTTTTGTATTTTCTCTTTTTAAAAAGAAACCATTGGCCCGGCGCCTATAGCTCAACCGGCTAAGGCGCCAGCCACGTACACCTAAGGTGGCGGGTTCGAATCCCCAGCCCGGACCCGCCAAACAACAATGATGGCTGCAACCAAAAAATAGCCGGGCATTGTGGCGGGTGCCTGTGGTCCCAGCTACTTGGGAGGCAGAGGCAGGAGACTCGCTTGAGCCCAGGAGTTGGAGGTTGCTGTGAGCTGTAATGCCACGGCACTCTGCCCAGGGGGATAGCTTGAGGCTCTGTCTCAAAAAAAAAAAAAAAAAAAAGAAACCATTTCAAGGAGTCACCCGTAGCTCAGTGGGTAGGGTGCCAGACACATACACCCAGGCTGGCGAGTTTGAACCAGGACCGAGCCAGCTAAACAACAATGACAACTGCAACAACCACAACAAAAAATAGCCAGGCGTTGTGGCAGAAGCCTATAGTCCCAGCTACTTGGGGAGCTGAGGCAAGAGAATCACTTAAGCCCAAGAGTTTGAGGTTGCTGTGACGCTGCAGCTCTCTACCCAGGGCAACATAGTGAGATTCTGTCTCAAAAACAAACAAGCAAAAAACCCAAAAAACCATTTCGGTACATTTTCAGGCAGAAATTGAACACATTGCTGGCTGGTCACAAGTTATCCAAAAACGCTGATAGATTCTGCATAAAATTGCTGGTCAGCAATGTTTAATATAACAGCTATTCCCTGATTCATTTCTCCCAGTCTCAATTCTCAGTTGTCCCAAACTCAGCCTATTTTATTCTTTTTCTCTGCCTCATTTCTCAGCTGCTTATAATATAGAATCACGTAGTACCTCTAAAATCTTAAGGGGCAAATTAATGCCTTTCAAAAAGTGGAGGTAGCAGTAATAGACCATGGCCTTTACCACTACTTTCCTAGTGGGAAAGGCTAAAAAAAAAATGTAACAGATGGGAAAAATTTGGGCATATCATTAAAGGAAAATCCAAATAGGGAAAGAAGAGAATCAAGAGGATAATTAAGAGATTCAGATTACAAAGGAAGAAAGAGAAAAAAAAAGTTAGAGGGAATTTTGCCCAAAAAGTTGAAAAGCATAGCTCTAACTATGTTCATATAAATAAAAGGAACTTGGCCAAAGATGCAACACCTTGATCCTGAAAAGGAAGCTTAACACAGAGCAAGAGACATGTTAAGAGTTAATGTGACTTTGGATTTCCCACTGGGCAACAATCCAGTGATTTTATCAGACCAAGCAAATCAGGTGCTGTGCTCTCCAGTTATTTGGTTGTTTGATAAAGAATGAATCACATATCTCAGCTCTTGGAAAATGGAAGAGAAAATTCTTTATAATAAGCCTCTACCATTCCTAGATCAGGTTTAAATGTAAAACTGCCTTATGGCAGGATGAAAAAGCCATTCGAAAGTCACTATTAAATACATCCAATGCTGAAATGTACAAACAACTTCTATTTTGTTGTGTTTAATATTTTTGACATAGACTGAGTTTGAACCATAATGGGAATTCATTGATTTCAACACCTCTAGGATTTTTTATTTAAACATTTCTGAAACAGATGCATTTCAAATTCAATGGCATGTTATAATGTCATCTGCAATATTCTTTTTTCCTTTAATAGTACATAAAATAATTTTATGAATCACAATGAAGAGCATCTTAGATTTGATGAAATATGGCACCTAATAAATGACTCAAAGACTAAAAGATCAAATTTGAAGTGGCCAGTTACCTGAATAAGAATGCTGTGTACCCTCACTGGAAATAGATGAAGTTCCTCCAATAGCAGTAATCCCTTCCCTCTTGTTAATTATTTTTCGGAATGTTTTGCTGATATCTTTGCTTTTTAACTCTTGCATTAGCTGGAATGGAATACAGTAAAATTGAGACTTGATTATCTGGCGACATGAAAGATATTTAGACTTATATATTTGAAATGACTCCAAAATAAATACTAATCATGTGTTTGTACACTTACTGTTTATATACACAGATAAATCTCATCATTCATCCTATAACAAAATGGACAAATGTTTGCATCCCAACCACTGGAATGAATTTTATTATAACTAAGCTTAAATTGAACATATTGAAATTATTGACTTGCCATAATCTTTTGTCCTGAAAACATAAGAAATAATTAACTATATGATAAAGATAAAAGAAAGCTCTAATGAAGGTATTTTTCTGACTAAGCATCTCAAATATATCTATGTTAAATAAGCAGGCTCTTACAGGAAATAGCATAGGCTTACAGAAACTCCTTTCCCAATCACTCTC